GATAGTTCTGTGAGAGAGATAAAAGTAGTAGTGGCAGAGTTAGGGTTGGGCTGATAGACAATGCCATCGTCCATTGGCAACAGACATCACGATGTTGAGCCGGCATCGTGATTGTAAAACCCCCACCTAAAAGACTGAGAACTCGTCTTTTTTCTGTATATTTCCTCCCGCGATTAATGATGCAGCCTGTCAAACAACTGAAACCAACATCTGCACCCTGTGTGTTCACTGCTGCTTTACTTGGTCCGTACATAAAATATCCACCGTGACTTGTGACTTAAGTTAATAGTCTACATTTTTTTTTACAGAGTGAAGTCTGTGCGAGAACACATCCACATAATTTGTGTAATGCTAAGCACCTTTCTTGCGCTTGTAGCGCCCGCTAGGGACATATGTACATCAAACTGTCCAGGTATATCCGGGGCACCTATCTGAACATATCCTGTCAGTTTTGTGATGATTGGACCTACGGTTGCTGATTTGTGGTCATTTATGTCCAGAGCCACGCCCCTTTCAAAGTTCATTGGTCCATATCTTTAAAAGTAATTGAGATATCGACATGCTTTAAACAAATTTTAATAGGCTTGATCCAATGATGATTCACTGAAAATTCGGTGGCAAGACAACAAACAATAATAATAATAATAACTAAAACACACAAACATAGAAGGGTTCTACCGCTACGCGGTGTGAAGCGGTATGGAGCAAAATTAAATTTTACAATGTTTTTTAGCTTAAATCCTGCATTCATGATTATGTAATTAAGGAAATATTACATAAAATGACTTTTAAATAAGAAAAATATGGTTGGAGCAACTTAATTTTTGAGTATTCAACTTAAACACTTGTCTTTAAGCTATCAACAATTAAATAAGTTGTAATAGAAATTGTCTTTGATTGTAGAGGAAAAACTCCCTGTTTGGAGCTTTGACACAAGATGTACAGTATATTTTTATGCTCAGCTACTCAAGCACTAACTAAAAAGTACAAAATGATAGCTGAAAGTCTTTTTTTTTTAAAGCAAATACACTTTTTGTATCAACAAAGGATCACATCATCACAGTCCTAGCAAGCTTGCTGGTGTCACAGTTAGACTGCAGGTCGTGAAACAGCACCTCTTATTTCAGTCATGAGTTTGAATCCTGCAGCAGTGATAATTGGTTTCAACTTTAAACACCTGTATGGTGTTTGAACTTAATGGTAACAAAAAACTAAAGATGTCCTCTAACTTAAAACACCAAAATGCTGGCTGAAAAGCTTTTTTTAAGCAAATGCACTTTACCATCAACGAATGATCAAACTCTGGCTTTATCAGATGTCTCCCTCTATAGCTTGCTTGATTAGAGTGCTGGTTTCCCAAGCATCTTTTTTCATTCAGACCCACGTTCGAATCCCACCTCACATCTTTCTCACAAGATCAGTCGCTTTCTGTGTCTTCATGTCATTTTGCAATACAGAACTACACATCACAGAAAAGATTAGCACAATCAAAACAGTGCTCTGCCACGCATTTGTGGTCATAGAGTGTTCTCTATTGGTGCTTTGAAGCATAACATACATTCAGTTCCCACGCCATAAGCCAAATGACTTACAATTTCTCACACAGGTGCAAGTCAATGTGCTCTATTAAAAAGCCTCTAGGACCATGAAGGTCCGCCCATAAAATTCTTCTGCCATTATGGATTTTTTTGAAAAACACATTTTTGACATCTCCTCCTAGACCGTTGCTCCGATTGCCACCAAATTTTCAGTGAATCATCATTGAATCAAGCCTATTAAAAGTTGTATAAAGCACGTCGATATCTCAATTACTTGGACATAAATGAACACAAATCAGCAACCGTAGGGCCAATCTTTACAAAATTCACAGGACAGATTCAGATAGGTGCCCCAGATACACCTGGACAGTTTGATGTACATACGTCACTAGGGGGTGCTACAAGCGCAAGACAGGTGCTTAGCATTACACAAATTACACTATAAATCACATTAATTCTACAATCATCACGAAACTCTCAGGATATGTCCTCATTAGTAACTGAAACATGACCTGAAAGTTAACACCTAGGGGTGCTAATAAGGCTGCAAATGACAAATTGTTTGTCCAATCAACGCAAAACTTGCAGGACATTTCTACATAAGGACCTCACATGTACACTGCAAGTCTTCTTCAAATCGACCACTAGGGGGTGCTTTAAATGCACAATAACTGGATGTGAAATTATGCAAATAAAGCTATTTATCTGAAAATCGTTGTCCAGTCGTTACCAAACTTGCAGGTTTTGTTTCATAACAATATTTAACCACGTGTGTGAAATTATTTTGATGGCGATATTGCGAAAAAAGGTTTGAACTTGATTTAGAGTGTACTTCATTAATACACTTCTAATAGATCAGACACAATCATCTGGGACTTCTGGTTTCATGGGCCCCGGCCCGTCTCAGGTGTAAACAGGTGGCCCTTGAAGCAGAACAGGTTGAGAGCCTCAGCCCAAAAGCACAGCTGCTCTTCCCGGGTCCACATTCAAAGACGCACATCCTACAATATTCTGTTCCATGGTGTTCATGGTCCATTTCCTTTTCAAATGTATTTAGACAATAACAGCTTTCATTACTGCTGTTAACTCAGTGTTTTCCATTCAGCTCCAAGTGTGTTGATGTGAAACAGGATGAGTTGTTAGTTCAACAACATCTTCACAACCATGAAGGAAGAGCTTCATCTGAGACCTGCTGAATAGTTATTAGATAGATTTCAGATACTGCAGGAAGCTTTCAGCTGGGACACAATAAGAATCTCTGTCAGCTGTTTGTGTCTCTGACATTAAAATGTTTTCTTGAAATGAATGAAAGTGAACAGAAAAAGCTTGTGTTTCCTGACGGCTTCAGTCATTTAAAGATTGATAAAGAAGTTTAGTTCTTGTGCAGATAATCAACAGGACTGAAGGTTCAGCTTTCTGTCTGTCAGTCTGAGACAGAAACTGGACCAACAGCTCTGACAAACATGAGGAAGCTGAAGCTCCTCCTCTTTCCTCAGAAGAGATCTGTGGCGATCTGGACTCATTCCAGAGAGCTGCTTTAACAAAGTCTGAACCTGAACTCTGAGCTGATAAACTCACAGTTTCACTTCACAACAGCTGATCACAATCACTTCATCCACTCTGAGGATGAGAGTAAGAAACCATCATCAGTGGAGCTGCGACACAAAGATTCCCCAAAGGACAGAGCCTCAGTTTCAGTCCATTTAAGTGCTGGAAATAGGTGGCCGGATCCGGCATTCTTTTGTGTCCTGAACAATCTGTTAAAGTCCCCCTCCAGGATGGAGAGAGGTGTCATGGTGGGCGTGGAACTCATCAGACCAACAAAATACTGCACAATGACAACCCACAATCCCTTGTGTTTCCCTAGTGCGGGAGTCCTTAAGGACAAAAACACAAACGGTGACCAGACAACTACACTCACTCACCACTTTATTAGGTACACCTGTTTAATTGCTTGTTAACACAAATAGCTAATCAGCCAATCACATGGAAGCAGCTCAATGCATTTAGGCATGTAGACGTGGTCAAGACAACTTGCTGAAGTTCAAACTGAGCATCTGAATGGGGAAGAAAGGGCATTTATGTGACTTTGAACGTGGCATGGTTGTTGGTGCCAGACTGGCTGGTCTGAGTTTTTCAGCAACTGCTGATCTACTGGGATTTTCATGAACAACCATCCCTAGTGTTTACAGAGAATGGTCCAACAAAGAGAAAACATCCAGTGAGAGGCAGTTGTGTGGATGAAAATGCGTTGTTGATGTCAGCAGTCAATGGGCAGACTGGTTCGAGATGACAGAAAGGCAGCACTAACTCAAATAACCACTCGTTACAACAAGGTATGCAGAATAACATCTCTGAACACACAACACACCAAACCTTGAACCAGATGGGCTACAGCAGTAGCCACTCTTGTCAGCTAAAAACAGGAAACTGAGGCTACAATTCACACAGGCTCACCAAAACGGGACAATAGAAGAAGAAAAACATTGCCTGGTCTGATGAGTCTCGATTTCCGCTGTGACATTCAGCTGGTAGGATCAGAATTTGGCCTAAACATGACAGCATAATTGCGCTCAAGATAGACAGGTTTTATTGAGGAAAAAAGGGGTTGAGGGACTGCTAAGAGAGACAGACAGACAAACAGGATTAGTGACTGAGGAAAAACCAACGACAGGGAAACAGATCATGCAGGTTAAATGAGGGCTCGAAGGATCAAGAGTCACCGCGTTAGGAGCAACGACGATCAAGCAAGAATGCTGTGTGGAGAACCGGAGATGAAATACAGGCAGGGATGAGGTTGAATACTGGCAGGTGTGGCAGGCTGACGAGGTGGCTGATGAGGTGCAGGTCGTTGGCTGGGCTCAGGAGCAGAGGGAGAGAGAGATAGAGAGAGATAGAGATCACACACTCAGCATCGTTTAAACACGATAGCCTACCTGAGTATTTTTCCTGACCATGTCCTTCCCTTTATGACCAGAGTGTACCATTTTCAGATGGCTACTTCCAGCAGGATAATGCGCCATTCACAAAGCTCAAATCATCTCAAACTGGTTTCTTGAACATGACAATAAGTCCACTGAACTCCAACGGCCTCCACAGTCACCAGATCTCAATCCAATAGAGCGCCTTTGGGATATGAGAAATGTTTCCAACACCTTGTTGAAGGTATACCACGAATAATTCAGGCAGTTCTGAAGGCAAAAGGGGGTCCAACCCAGTACTAGCAAGGTGTACCTAATAAAGTGGCCAGTGAGTGTAGCTTGGTGCAATATTTTTGTTGGCTAACAGCAGCATGCTAGCTGCTAGCTGGTGTGTTAGCAGTTAGCTCAGCAGCCACACCTGTCTGTCACAATAATGTTTGTGTGAAAGCTGCTCAGCCTGTTTCTTCACATTCCAACAGCTGCTTCAGTGGAAACAGTTTAAAGTGAAACTCCAGTTTTCTGCTCACAGAGTCAGCAGATTATCAGGAGGAGGAAAGGGACAGCTGGCTGTGAACTGATGTCCTCACTGTGTTTCTGAAGACTTCCTTTAGTGAGAAGCAGATTAAAGAGGACTAGTTGCTTGTTGGAGTTTCTACAGGAAGATGAAGATGTTTGTGGTGTTTGTGATCCTCGTGCACGGTAAGATAACCTTCCTCCCTCTGATCTGATCATCACCTCAGTCCGTCACCTCTTAAATCTGGATTTTATCTTATCTTCTGTTTCAGCTCCATGACTGTTGCTGTGTCCCAATTGGGATACTTTTCTTTAGTACACTTAGATGTAGTACACTGAGTACAATATGTACTTACTTGTGTAGTGCGTGAATATGAACAGGGTAGTGTTGTCTCAAATCAAACATTCTTTGACATTTTGCACATTATTGTGCTTTACCGGTAATGAGGATTGCATCATTTGACTGCTTCTTCTCCTCTTCCTTCTTCTTCTTTGTAATGTAGAATTAGAACCATTAATGGTACCAAATCATTACAGACATAGGACAAGGAAGAACAGTCTTCTTTGCATTTTTGGTGGATTGCAGTCTCAAATGCTGTCTTCTTTCCTATTGATATTTGACCTAGATCCAATAGCCCATAATGGGATTAGGGTTTTAAATGGAGGCATAAGCGACTCCCCCTCACAACACACCCCCTGGTCCTCAAGCCACAGCCGGACCCTTCACGTCTTCATAACTGTAAAAACAATATAATTGATCGAGACTTAAACTAAACAAAAGCAACTCTTAACAAATAGGTCTTTTGAACAACACATTCTTACTTCCAGCTCTTCACATATGAACACTTGGTCAAGATCCCTTAGTGCCGCTTTGTAACACCCGAGGTACCCTTTAGCGTCATTTTTATATATGTAGGGCTCCGTGGTCAAGTCCAGTGAAGTTAGCAATAAAACTAATGTAAAAATTTTAGGAGTCAAATCACTGAACCTGCAATTTTTACAAGGTGTGTGGCTGTGTGGCCATGTGGTGGCTGTGGCTCAGGAGGTAGAGCGGGTTGGCCGTTAATCGGAAGGTCGGCGGTTCAATCCCTGGCTCCCCCTGGTTGCGTGTCGAAGTGTCCTTGGGCAAGATACTGAACCCTGATTTGCCCCTGGCGGCTGTTCCGCCAGTGTATGAGTGTGTATGACTGGTGACATACACATGCGCATGTAAAAGCGCTTTGAGTGGTCGAAAAGACTAGAAAGGTGCTATACAAGTACGGAGCATTTACACGTGCTGTAACCACTACACACGCTTGGACCACTTCTCTTTTCCCTTTATCTCCTCCCCCTTGGATGCATAATTAGAAAGCATGGCATCTCCTACTCCTCTATGCGGATGACTCAATGTATCTGCATCAAAAGAGGTGAAAACTCCCTCGTACCTCTACTAGAGTGTTTAAAAGATATTAAGGCTACAAAGATATTATAATTGTGTTTGGACCCAGTCGTGCCGGTCATATCCTTTCTGTTGACCTGGGCTACCTGCAACAATATTTGAAACCCGTAGTGACAAATCTGGGAGTGAAAATAGACAATGGTTTTAAAATTGATAAACAGATATATAATGTTAAATCCAGTTTTTATCACCTGAGGCTTTTATCTAAAATCAAACCTGTTTTATCTCGTAAGCACTTTGAACATGAACATGTGATTCATGCTTTTATCTCAACTCGTCTGGACTACTGTAATGCACTTTACATCACGCTTACAGTTAGTACAAAACTCAGCCGCTCGTCTTTTAATTGGAATTCGCAAGCATGAACACATTACACCAGTGCTGGCCTCCACTGGCTCCCGGTCCATTTTAGAATACATTTTAAGATCTTATTGTTTGTTTTTAAATCACTGAACGGGTTGGCACCTCACTACATCTCAGACCTCTTACAAGTCTACACCCCAAACTTCGGCTGGTCGCTCCAAAAACCAGGTTAAAAACCAGTGGCGATCGTGCTTTTTCAGCAGCAGCCCCTAAACTGTGGAATGAGCTACCTCCACAGGTCAAATTGGCCCCGACCCTCGAATGTTTTAAATCCTGTCTTAAAATCCACTTGTATTTCCTGGCTTTTAACCCAGCATGAGAGCTGTTTCGTCTTGTTATTTTATGTGTTTTTATGTGTTTTATATGTTTCGATGTGTTTTATATGAGTTTTAATGTTTTATTTCTTGTTCAGCACTTTGTAAAACTTTGTTTTTTAAATGTGCTATATAAATAAAATGGATTGGATTGGACATAGCGGAGTTGCCAAACATCTTTGCACTACCTTTTAAAGCTCTTTTTTAAAGCATGCCCTCCTCTCTTGGCTTTTATTCTTACTGGAGTCAGCAGTTTTCCTGTCATCTGCCCAATTTATTTGCCCACCTCACTCTCTAGTCAAAGATGAAAACCAGTGTTAATGTTTAACTCTGATGAGAGGATGAAGCAAATAACAGTATTGTTAGGTTAATTTGCAGCTGAAGTGCATCTCTCTCTGTATGTCCGACTGACCCATTCTCTTGGTCTTCTGTGTTATGGCACAATGTTTATTTAGAACTCTGGACTAATGCAAGATGCAATGGATTGACAATAAATATTAAAATGTTGTATAGCGGGGTAGACTGGGCAATATAAAGGGACATCTCAGTGAACTTCCATGTTGTAAGTTACTATTTTATTGCCAATTGCTGATAAGCTGATTGTTTCACGAATGTAACCAACATATTTCTGTCCACGTAGAAAAGCCAGAGCGCTAGAGAATAACGTTACATGAAATTACTATCCAATTACATTTTTATTCACCAGGGCAGTAAAATTTGAAGCATGCTGATCTGAGCTGTAGCCTACAGTTTTATAACCAATTAATCAGCTGATTGTCTCATGAACGTAAACGGCACATTTATGTTGACAGCAAAGCCAAAACACTCACTGAAGAACAGTGTTGAAATTACAATCCAACTATATTTTTCACAACATTGACAAGGCCTATGGGTATTACCCTATTAGGTATAACTGAGGACTGTTTAAGCTGGTGTCGAAGAGATTCGCCTGGCTTCTCACTGTCTTCTTCCGAACGCCTACCCTGCTTACTCTGAAATGGCACCTGACTGAATAGCCCTAGAGCCAGATACCACCCCATCCATGCCCGTTAACGACAGCTCTCTTCTCATTGATCAGTGCACTTGGTATAGTTTCTAGAATTATGTTTAGTGGCCAGGAAAATAGGCCCCAAGGATAAGTTAATTTTGTTGGCTAGAGCAACCTATAAGAACCTTAAAGATGTTAAACACACTTTACCTAATGAATTACTACCTTAGTGAAGAAATAAATTCAATGTCTACGACTTGTACTTTAAATGCAGTGATTATATATTTATTTCATTGCAAAATTAAGCAAGGGCAAGCATACAACTTAAAAAATACATGCAAAAAAATAAAAATATAAATATAAATAAATAAAACCTAAATAAACTGATAAAATTTCTATAATTCAAAACCTGATTGTGATATTTTTATGTGTTCTTTTTGGAGAGAAAGGAAGGGGAATGAGTTGTCCTGCAGTGAAATCCATCCTCTGCTGCTGGGGTGTTGGTTGAAACCTGAGGCTTTGTCCAAAGCCCTCAAATTGTCTTCAGAAGTCTTCAGTCTTCGTTGCAGTTTGAGTGAGAGAAAATCTTCAAAGTCCGATGATTCTTCAGTTGGTTTGGATGTTGTGGTTACACTCTGTGGCTCGATCTCTTGAAGTCCCCTGAAGAAATCTCTGAAGTGTTCTCTAGTTGTTTGCTGTTCAAATCCCAGTCTCTTGTCTTGGGCTCTTGGTCCAGTGCGGTGATGGTCTTGCTCTGAGTCCGATGCCTCTGAGGTCTGCCAAGGAATAACCCCGATCTCTCTCTGACTCCTCTTTATATATCCTACTCTGTAGCTGAGTTTCTTTGTGAAATCAGCCACCACCCCTTTCCCTGTCTACGTGACTACTGTCACATAGCTTGTTCATCCTTAAATTCAGTTGGCCATTTCATTTCCCCTTGCTGACCCTTCTCTCCCAATGACTATGAATGATCATAGTCATGATGTCTTCACCCAAACTTGTGTGGGTTTTCTGTAAACACCAATCTGCAGGCTCCTGTCCTCTTCAATGTGTACAGCGCAGTCCAGGAAGGCCAAACTGTTGTTGTGAACATCTTCTCGTGTGAACCTGATGTTACTGTCCACAGAGTTGATGTGTTCTGTGAAGGCTTGCACTTCCTGGCTTTTGATTTTGACCCAGGTGTCGTCCACATATCTGTACCAGTGGCTCGGTGCTATTCCTCTGAAGGAGTTGAGGGCTTTATTCTCCACTTCTTCCATGTAGATGTTGGCCACAATCGGGGATACCGGTGAGCCCATGGCACAGCCATGCTTCTGTCTGTAGAATCCACCGTTGTACTGGAAATAGGTGGTGTTTAGACAGAGGTCGAGTAATTTGCAGCTGAGGCTAGTTCTGTTGTCCAGGGTGTTGTCTTGTGTTAGCCGTTTCCTAACGGTTTCTACTGCCTCTATGGTGGGGATGCAGGTGAACAAAGAAGTCACGTCATAGGATACCATGGTTTCATCTGGATCCAGTTTTAGTCCTCGAACTTTGTTTACAAAGTCAATAGAGTTTTGGATGTGGTGAGGCGTGTTTCCCACCAATAGAGCTAAGATGGTGGAAATGTGTTTGGCAATGTTGTAGGTGACCGAGTTAATGCTGCTGATAATCGGCCCTTCTTTGTGTATCTTGGGTAGTCCATAAATGCATGGAATGGCTTCTCGAGGATACAAACGGTAATATTGTTCACCGGGTGATGGTGTTGTCCTTCTGTAACTGTTGTAGACATTCTATGGCCTTTTTCTTGTATCCGCTGGTTGGGTCTCGTCTCAGTGTCTCATACGTGTTTGTGTCCATTAGTAGTGTGTTGACTTTGTTCTGGTAGTCAGCTGTGTTAAGTACTACCGTGCATCTTCCTTTGTCCGCAGGTAGGATAGTGATGTTTTGATCCTTGCTCAGGGATGTCACAGCCTTCCTTTCTTGGATGGTGAGGTTGGAAGGGGGGGGGCCTTCGCATTAGAAAGGGCTGCAGATACCTTTAGTCTGAGCTGTTCCGCTTCTGTTTCTGTTAATTTGTTTTTCCTAATGGCCGATTCTGTGGCTG